CTCCAGCCTGCTTCCCCTCCACTCCAGCATCTGCCGAGCTTGTAACTTTTGGCTTCCCTCCCTGCTTTGACTGATGACACTTCCTATGCATCATGGACCTACGCTTTCCTGGATCTTTCTGCAGGTTTCTTCACCAGCACCTATGACCACCTTGACTGTCACCAACTCCCTCACAGATGAGAATTCAGGCAATGTGGGTCCTGGATCTATAATACTCTTTTCTTTATGAGGACTGAGAAGACACCTTAGGAATAATGCACACAGGGGTTACTGAGTCTAAGAAAGAGAATAGTAGCCCTGAGACGGTATTACACACTGGCCAGTCCAAACACCTCATTTCCAAAGTCTGCTTCCCCCTCTAGACTGTAAAGCCCTGGAGGACAGTGACCACACCATATGCATCATTATCTCTGCACTCCTGGGGATAGGGTAAGTAGGTGGTTAACACATGCGGTATTACACACTGGCCAGTCCAAACACCTCATTTCCAAAGTCTGCTTCCCCCTCTAGACTGTAAAGCCCTGGAGGACAGTGACGACACCATATGCATCATTATCTCTGCACTCCTGGGGATAGGGTAAGTAGGTGGTTAACACATGTATTCTTCTAACTTTGTGTTACAGAAACAGCTCAAAGAAGAAAGTTTTGTCTCATGAGGAAGTGTGATCAGAGTGACAGAGGTTCTTGCCTAGTTTTCTTTCTCACTAGCTGTGTGGCCTTAGGCAAAATACTAAACACACTGGCCTACATTTTGCTTATCCACAAAATGGGAATAACATTAACTTCTCTGTAACTCTTGCAAAAAGTCAAGGATAATGCATGTAAATCACTTAGCCCCAAATCTGACAAACAGAGGTCCAAGATAAAATATTATAATTACTTAAGAATAGACATATCAAACACTTTCAAATATTTTGAAGTAACATGTACAAATCATATACATTGATATGATATGCTGGATTCCTGAGGATCCTTACTGGCAATATTTTATTAGCCCAAATTGACATAAAAATGTCTGGAAAAGATACAGTTGCATGAAAAATATACACTAGGTTAGATGTTTTTCTTGGAATTTCTCATTAAAGCTCATTATAATCCTAAAAGACAGGGTTAGTGTTCTCATTTCATAGAGGAGTACAGCTGAGGCCCAGAGAGATCACCAGTCTTCCCCAGGCCACACAGCGGCTAATAGGCAGAGCTGGGATTTGAACTAGGTTGCTTGAATTCCAAAGTCTGTGCTCTCAGCCACTCTTCCCATTATCTTCTTTTAATTAAACTTTCAACTAAAGTTAGATAGGCATTATTCTCAACAAATGCAATTTAAGAAGGCTTTACTGAGAAATATCTTTAAAATTTTCTGGGGGCTTGCCTTCCTTCTCCAGAACCTCTCTCTCTCCCCTTCATAAAATTTAAATGTTGTTTTGTCACAAAATCAAATGCTAATAAAATATCAGAAGAATTGAACGTATTTAATAAGCACACTTTTAAAAGATGATTTGTATTCAATACATCTGTTGTTCCACCTGAAAATAAATATATTGCTAAAACATAAGGAAAGGATTGCACACAGTTAATGAACAACTTTTAAATGATGGTTTTTGCTGGAGAGATCTGTTTTAGATCTCGCTATAAGGTGCAAAGTGTGACTGCATGTGAAGGGCAGTGCTCGGCGGGATTCGGAGGGTCTGTCCCTCCTTGGAAGCCAGGACTCCCCTCCAGCGCCTGTGTCCTGTGCTGTGGAGCTTCATCCTGTGGACCCTGGGCCAGCCTTGGCTCTAAAGGCCACATTTATCTTTAGTCTCAGAGTTGCGTGAGGGCCCTCATTTTGGTGCTTTCACTATTACTTTGGCCTTCACTACATTTTCTGACTTGAGAGAGTTGCCTTTGCTTGATCTTCAGAAAACCTGCCTTTTACTCCCCAAAATGCCTTTTCATTAATAGCTGCGCGATCTTGATTGTGTTTGCTCTTTTGACACAGCCGTCTGATCCTCCAAGTCTAAAACCGAAAATTCTCTTTTAACAGTCACATTCACGAACCAGGTAACATACCCTTGCTGACACTTCCTCTAAATTCTATACACTCACATGCATGCGCACACATGCACACATGCTCGCATGCACACACACACACTCACATGCATGCACACACTCACATGCACACACTTGCACACACTCACACGCACACACATGCACACGCATGCACACACTCACATGCACACACGTGCACACACTCACACGCACACACACGCACACGCATGCACACACATGCACACACGAGCAGACACATTCTTTCACTGAGCTGTACTTTCCTCTGCTTCCTTCCGCTGATACTTTATGCTGCCATATGCAGGTTTAAGCTGTCTTATAAATTCTTTCCTCTTCACATTGTCCTGCATATGAGGAACCATGTGCCCATCCTACCCCCGTCCTGGGGTTCCCACTTGCGCACACAGTGGAGACAGCCCACACCTGAGATCAGTTCTCATCCTGCCTTATCATTTACACCCAAAGATTGGCCTGCCAGGTATCCACCATCCCCCCAGGGCTTGCAGGAGTTGGACTATCCAGAAATCTACCACTCTCCCCTCATCAGTGAGGGGAGAGGAGAGTTTTCAAGAGAGCAGATTTCATGGTGTAGTGACCCTTACTTCTCTCTACCCCTAGGGTAGGGTAGAAGTTTAACTGGTCCCCACCAACAGAAGTCGGAAGACTGGAAGAGAAAGCCTGTGATGTCAAAGAGTAGCCCTGGGACACGGACAAGGGCCTGTGTTTCACACTCAGTGCTTTGCAGGTCTAAGGAACTTCCCCTGGGACGCAGGGATGAGGGTATGCCAAGACCCTCCCTGTCAAGAATGCCAAGGCTAGGAAGGCACTGCTGAGTGGGTCATGGGCAACGTCCCTAGCAGAGCAGGGGCACAGCCCACTGAGGGAGTACAGACTACACCATGGTGGGGGATCAGGGGAGAGCCAGTGACCCCTCCACTCAGGGTCCCAAGCCTTAGAACTGTTTGAAAGGAAGCAGTTGCCTGGGAGCAAAAGTGTTCACCATTCATTCATGGGAAACCTGGGACAGCCTTGCTGTCAGCTCATGGGGGGAGGTTACACCAATAGAGAAAGGAAGGAGGAAGGAGGAGAGAAGGAGAGAGCAGGGCGAGGAGAGGGAAGGGAGGGTGCGGGCTGCACACCCTCGTGTGTGTGGAGGGAGATGTTCAACCCGCCGTGAGAGCTAAGAATTCAATAACCAGATTAGACAAAAGTCACTGAACTGAACTAAATTCTCTGATGGGACTCAAATTCTATTACTGGGCAGGATTGACTTTCTCTCCCTCATCCCCCTCCAGTGAGTGGAAATGGGGTTCAGAGTCATTTGAAGAGATAAAAGCCACTCTGTTTGCACCTCACTGAGCTGACTCCTCCATCAAACCAGCAAACACAAAATGTCAAATCCCAGGCTCTCTGAGCAGCCTGGAATCTCAGACACAGAGATTTTTTCTCTGCCTCTTCCTCCTCCAGGCACCTGCCCCTCTGCCTGTACATACTGGAAGGGATAGAAACTAAAAAAGACCAGGGGGGTTTCTAACTCATTTTCTGCATTCAAATTAAACACTCTAATTTTTCATACATCAAGTTTCCTTTCCAGCACTTTTTCATTTAATAGGACCTTATCTTAATGAGAAAATTTCTAATGATAAAGCAACCTATGTTTGAAAATGAATACCTTGAGTACTTAGTCTGGCGCACTGCTTACAAAAACAATTTGACAGCCTGATCATTGTGCATTTGGTAGTGTCAACAGAGCTTTCTAGCAGGGCACCCAACAGGTTCAAAAGCCATGCTTGGACTTTATCTTAAGAGGTTACTTTACGTGCTCATGCAGAGCAAGTTTTTTAATGATGAACAAAGTTAACACAGATTTATGGGGGTGTGTGTTAATATTTGCTTTTATCCAACAGAATATTATACATCCGTTTCATTTCTGTTTCAATTCCTAAATCCAATAATGACTTACTGCTCTTCAAAGTTGTACACCTCAAGATGCCCTTCTTCAGGGTGACTCCTTTTTAAAAAGATTCTTCCTTAGGCTTTTTTGCAAATGATCAGTGATTCTGGCCAACCTCAGACATGTTTAAATTTTTTAATACATGCTTCTTGGAGTGTTGAGCTGAGAGTGTGTGTGTGTGTTGTGTGTGTGTGTGTGTGCAACATTATAGACACCCTCACTGGCAATTCGTTTATGCACACTGAAGGAAAATCAGAACGGGAAAGGATCACAGAAAAGCCATGAATAGCTTAAAATTGCTTCCAAGGTGATTCTAATAGGCCCCTTTTCTACTTAAGAATGTTTTTAAAAGGTTGATATTTTGTTCCATCTGAGAGTCTGTCTGACTTTGGATATTATTAGTTTCATTTTTATTAATATTGAGATGCTGTTAGCATTATCTTAATGTAATAGTCATTTATAGACAGAGAAGGGAGCTCACATTTCGTTTTATTAATAGAGGAGAAGAAACAAAAGGATAGGAAGTGAGAAAGTAAGATGAGAAGAGGTATTTTCCTAGAATAATTGGACAAGAGCTGAAATGGAAATGAGAAGGAAGAGGGTTTTTTAAAAAGCGTGTGAGTGGGTGTGGGGGGGTGTAATAAAGAGACGGCATGAGGTGGAAATAACCAAGTTGTTCTGAGGTAGAATTAATCAATTTACTAAGATGAAAGAGAGAGGAAAATGTTAGTGGAAGCTGAATAACGACTCAATCTAAAAGGGAAAAACCAAGCAGTGGTGAAGAGATGGCAATCAAATAATTGCCTGTTCCGTCCAGCAGATGGCGCTGTGTGCCCAGCGAGGCTTTGTTGCTGCTTAGAACGGGTAGAAAATAATGTGCAGCACATAAATGTGAAATAAATGCGTAATTCTTATACCTCGAAATTCCAGGTGTGTTCAGAAGTTCATAAAACAAGAATTGTAGGACTAATTGTCCAGTATAAACTTTGAAATAACTTACATTTTCACCTTTGATTCCAAGGGCTGTAGATTGAGGGGATATTTTTCAATATTATTCTCCACATCCATGGCCAGCTGGTGACTAGAAACAGAAATAATGTCTCAGTTTAGCTCAATCCAGAAAGTTAACATGTAGAGCAGCAATAATGATAATTTATACTTATTTGAAAAATCCTAATATAGATTCAATTTTGTTCATTTAAATTTATTAATGGAGTTTCTGTTGATGGATAATAGATAAATATGCATACCATAGAAAGAGATGTTGCTTTGCCTTTTATCTTTGCTGTCCTTTTGATCTCTACCCCTTAACTTAACATTCATAGCTAAGGCATGAAAATCATTTCCTTTAAGAGAAAAGAATATAGGAACATTCAGAGGGAAAAAAACACCTAAGAGAGCCTTATAAATCCCATGATACTGGCCAGCTAGCAAGTTGTAGAGAAGACTTCATTCATCCCCAAAGGATATCACTGCCACTGAACCTCTTCTTCTTTCTTTTTGTAAGCTGTTTCCGGGCTCCTACTACGAATAAAGCATGGACCTTTGTCCTGGATAAAGGCAGAGAACTATAAATATATGGTCACCGCTTCTAATGAGCTTATAAGACTCTCACTCAGAGCTGCAATGGTCAAGGAGGACTTCATGGAGAAGGTGACACTTGGGTTGGGTTTTGAAGAACGGGCAGGAAGAGTGAATGATAATATATGAAGAAGACAGTAAAACGAAAAAACACCTAAGAGAGCCTTATAAATCCCATTATACTGGCCAGCTAGCAAGTTGTAGAGAAGACTTCATTCATCCCCAAAGGATATCACTGCCACTGAACCTCTTCTTTCTTTTTGTAAGCTGTTTCCGGGCTCCTACTACGAATAAAGCATGGACCTTTGTCCTGGAGAAAGGCAGAGAACTATAAATATATGGTCACCGCTTCTAATGAGCTTATAAGACTCTCACTCAGAGCTGCAATGGTCAAGGAGGACTTCATGGAGAAGGTGACACTTGGGTTGGGTTTTGAAGAACGGGCAGGAAGAGTGAATGATAATATATGAAGAAGACAGTAAAACAAAGGAGCAGGGTGAAGAAATTCAAAGGCTGTTTTTAGAAAATAAAGAGAGCAATTTGGCAGAAGCAGATGGTAAAAGTAGGAGCATAAAAAGAAAAAAAGTTTGGCTAAGCAGAAAACTAATAGTTACTGGTCACATAATGTATACAAATCGCTATCACCAACATTCTACATTTATTATCTTATTTAACTCTCACCATTACCTCCATCAATTAGGTATCACTTCTCTCACTGAACAGCTGAGAAATCGGAAGCTCAGAGAGACTATGCTCAACTCACTCTACAGGAGGACCACATTAAAACTCATATCTTACTGCTTTCTCCACCACAAGGTACTGGCTGAAGGATTTTAATATCAAGCTTATTAGACTGAATCTTACTGACTGCAGTTTTCACAGGTAATATATTTTACATCCCAATCAAGTGCACGTGCATGTGGTAAGGGGTGTGTGTGTTTGCGTGCATCTGTGTTTGAAACAAAAGTTTCAAGAAACATTATTTCTCAACAATGTGTGTGACATACTTTGATATTTTTTATATTTAAGATTTTTTAAGAGGCTGTTGGTGACCCACCAAATTGATTTGACAAACCATCAACGGATTGTGACCTACAGCGTGAAAAGCATCGCTACAGGGAAACATAAAGCATTTGGAGGAGGGAAATATGATGTACGGGATGTTTTAGGATGGTTTGCAGTGGGAGTGAGAATGGGGAGTGAAGGAAAACTAGTTTAATCTATTCAAATTGTCCAAGTAATGAGCATCAGGATCGTGCTGATATTAAAGAAAAGTATGAGAAAAAAAATGTGCTGGAGATATCATAAATACATTTTCTTCTTTTCTTTAGCGAGGAATAACCCAGTGGTAGGGAAAACCTGATAGAGCAGATAAATTCCTATGTGGCCACTAGATGGTGCCATGAGCCCAAGACAGCTCTGTGGTTGCTTAGCCTGGCTGTTGAGGAGCAAAGAAAACACTCTTGTTTACTCTGTGCCATTTGTACTTAGGGTCCATTATTAATTCATTATTATTCACTCATTCTACAAATATACCTAGTGCCCTCTGTTTGCCAGAAATCATACAAAGCATGGGGAATTAAACAGTGAAAACACTAGACATGGTCCCTGTTTTATGGTCTTGGGAGATGAACTTAAAAAAAGTAATTACAAGTGTGATGGATGTTATGAAAGAGAAACACACAGGGGCCTAACCCAGGGTAGATGAGCATGGAAACTCTCATTTTAATAAGTCTGTAGTCTTGTAGGGACAACAACCTTATAATAAGAATACTTTAAGATTCTGTTAAATAAACAACCCATTAACTACAAATTAGCAAATTGGGCAATAGCGGTATGTATGAGTATGTTGTGGGGCCTGCAGAGATGCAGCAACCAAAGACAAACCTAGCATTTCCATAAAGAGAAGAGAGCTTTAATAATATTAACAAACGTGCTAATTTGGGAATGTAACTATAAACTACAAATGCCTGTTGGTTTAAACTAGATGGCTTTAGTTCATTCCCCCAATAATTGCCTATGGATAATTAAATGATTCTATATCAGTAAATTGTGTGACTTGCCAGAGACCCAGCCTAATGCAATATTTACAAAAAATAGCAGTCAGCCTAAGGTCTTCCTTAAGTTAATAAATGCTTACCATAAACAATAGAGTCATAAGCAGCCTCCTAATCAATGGCCTGACTGACTGCTCTTCTCTGTTTATGGGCACATGCCAAACTTAACTGAGAGAGAGAGAGAGAGAGAGAGAGAGAGTGTGTGTATGTGTGTGTGTGTGTATGTCTACACAAATGCACTCAATTGGCCCTGCATATGGCCTCAGATAGTCTGGAGTTGCAGCTTCCCCACCCTTCACACCGACTATCTACGACAAAACCCTGTTGAGCATTCAGAATAAATGTAATGTTCCAAAGGGGAATCACCAATCAACTGCTGTGACACCACTATCACTTAACGCATGGTCATTTCAGGTAGCTTAGATGATTTACATCAGCACCTAAGTCAGATACAGCTATAATGAAATTCCTAATCTGCTATTCAATGTACACCAATTTTTCAATCAAATTTGACAGCTTTCAAGGACACAGTCCTTTCCTGAAGCAGACCAGGAAAAGCTCCAGAATTCCAGGCAAATGAGTATAGTTGTTAGGGCTGGTGGCCACTGCTCGTTTTCTCTGTGTCCTGAGCAAGCATGGGAGGGAAGGTTACCCCCACAGGCCCATGTGCTTTGAGGGGAGACTTTAATTCCCATCCCTGGAATTCCTCAATCGTGACTGGAAAAAATAAGCATATGAAACAGACTGGTCGTTTCCAAAAGCTTTTAGCTTCCCTAGACCTCTGGATAATGAAGAGGAAAGAGGAAGGTGGGGGAGGCAGAAGCCCACGTATATAGCATCAATTTTCACATATCTTCCTGGGAGCAGAGAGCTGGGAAAGATACACGTCAGTGTGAGTGAGAGGTTTAATATAGAGTTGTGGTCAATTAGCAGGTGAAAAAAAACTGTTGGAGTTCATTGTCTACATTAAAATCAATAATGAAAAACCGTCATGGCCAGGTTTAATAAAAAAATGGGCTGAACATCACAGAGAAAGTGTGTCCTCAGAGAACTCAGCTGCATGCGGAGCTTATTGAATAAGTGAAAGGCATCTACCCTGCACACTGGTTCTCAGCCCCAGCTCCTCGTTAGAATCACATGAAAAAAGCTGTTTAAAAAAAGTTACAAGGGTACTTCAAAGTTCCTAAAAAAAAAAAATAGGATGGAAAGGCAATATGAATCTTTCCCTGAACTTTTTGAAGTGCCCTCATGCTGATGCCAGGGTCTCCCCGCCTGAGATTCAGGATCAGTGTGTCTGGGGTGGGGCTTAAGCCAGGGCACTTGTGTTGAGCTCCCCGGGTGGTTCTAAGAGCAGCCTGGGTAAAGAACCACTGATCTAAACCTAACCTCATCACAACACTGATCTCCATAGAAGCAAAACCTTCTTTCTTGTGTCAGCTAAAAACCCTTTAGTTATTATTGTTTACATATAGCTAGTGATGTAGGTAGGGGGATTGAACTATTTTATTCTTATTTATTCATGTGAATGAGAACAGGCATAACAAGGATAAATTAAGCCCAGCGGTAACCCAGAAACTTCATGTAATCAAAGCACTGAAGCCGCCCTTCAATGTGGTAATGTGGCAAATTCTCAGTCATGTTGATGGAATGAACCTAAGAGGTTGCCTGGTCCAAACAGCCACCCAGATGGAAAGGGAAGGAAGCCCGGACCGAAGGTGCCATGCTATTATGGGTTGTCTCCTTTAATGCTCTCTGTAAGACTGTCAAGTCAGTACTATTATGTTCAGTTTTAAAGATGAGTAAACAGAGGCTCAGAGTGGTTATATGATTTGTCCACACAAAGCGGGACCGAAGGTGCCATGCTATTATGGGTTGTCTCCTTTAATGCTCTCTGTAAGACTGTCAAGTCAGTACTATTATCTTCAGTTTTAAAGATGAGTAAACAGAGGCTCAGAGTGGTTATATGATTTGTCCACACAAAGCTAGGAAAAAGCAGAAAGAGGAATCAAACTCAAAGTGTTTATTTTCAGGATGTTTCCAACAACATCTCAGAGGGACTGTCCATTAGACTCTTCCTGGGCACTTCCAGTATCTATTAGCTCATTTCTTAATAAAGAAATCCATTCAGTTTCTTGGCAGACAGAAGTTTTACAGAAGTTATCCTTTTTCTGAGTCACGAAGTTGTTTCGTCATATATCCCACTCATGGATCCTGGTTCTGCTTTCTAGAGCAAGAGCAATTTAGCTCCTCTGTTATAGGAACATTCCTTCAAATGTAGCTGTTAGACTCCTTCTGAGACTTCTTTTCTCCAGGCTACACATCCTCAGCTCCTTGCAGTAGTTTCTCATGGTTCTAAAACCATCATGATTTAAATTGACTTCTTCTGGTGCTCTTGGTAATGTCAACATGCTTTTTAAATGTGATGCCCAGAGCCAAGCATGACACTCACTCAGGTTTCACTGATCCAGAGTATATTGGGACTTAGCCAGTGGTTGGGAGCAAGGACTCTGGAGGCCCTTCAACTGCCACCCACACCACTCACTAGCTCAGTATATGTGGACGAGTTGCTGAAACCTCTCCGAGCCTCTTTACTCATCTGTAAAATGGAAAAGACGCCTACAACAAAATGCTGTAGTCAGAATTCGATGAGAAAATATCTGTAAGCATTCAATAATAGCACAGAGTACAATGTAAATATTCAATAAATGATCATAATTTTTCCCCTTATCTTGACAATGCATGCCTATTAATCAGTCTAATATTATGCTAATTTTAGAAGCCATGTAAAAACATGGGTTCTGTTAATACCAAATAAAACCTCAAAGCATTTACCCACAAATCAAAATCAGGACGTATCTCATATGCTCTAATTGTACAATTTTTAAAAAACCTAATTGGAGGAGTTTACTTTTATCTCTTTTCAATGTCATCTTTCTGGTTTTTTGTTTTTTTGGTTTTTTGGTTTGTTTTGTTTTAGCTTTGTTTTGTTCCATTCTGTGGTGGTGTTGTGAATGTTCCTTCTATTAATCAGCTTTAGTGTTAGCCTTGCACTTTTTGTAAATTTTAGGCCTGCCTTCTATAAACATCCTGATTAAAAGCTTAAGACGGGGTAAGGTTAAGTTTTGAGCTCTCAGACACACCACCAGAGACATCTTCCAGGCATCATATTACTCTGTTAATCAGTAGAGTTGCTCAACTAGCCATAAATCTACCTAATTATATCTCAAAAGAGCCACATTTCTGGGCCCTGACCACCATGATACCATAAGAACCTGTCAGATATACTTATTCATTTTTTCCTTAGCAGGCAGTCTTTTTTTTTTTTTTCATGCAAGCTTTTCAACCTCACAAATGGTTAACTTTTAAAAATAATTTTTACTTACTTTTCAAGTATATATTCTCCATCATTAACTTGTCCTAAAGGATTCTGCAATCTTTTTAGTTCTTCCTGTTAAAAAAAAAAAAAGATGCATCTTTCAAATTGACACCAGGTACTTCTGGGCAATATTTGAGGACAATTGCTAGAAAATTGAGACACACCATTAAGAAAAAGTTCTGGACTTTGCCATGATAAAGTGTTTAAACACACATCAATACAATTTGATCCTTGATCAAACTAGAATACAATAGTGTCACTCATATTGTGTGATTTTTTGGTCACTAAAGATAATGCTGGGGCTTGTACACAGGCAGCCACTTGTAGGGGTTGACGGTGACACAGAAGAGGCATGAGTAGGTCTGTAAGAAAATCAGAAAATTTGACTTGTGGATCTTGTCTTCACTTGGAGAGATAAACTATGTACAAAGATGTTGAAGGGGCGCTCACATAGATCATCCAGGTTGCATAGCGCTCTTTGAGGTTATACAGCACAGCAGGCTCATGCAGTAACTGTCAAAGGATCCAAGATGGCGACGGGTCTGGAGCGGCCATGCCAGGAGACAGCGCGATCCTGAGAGGTGTGCGCAGTGATACCAGAGTATTAATTGCATT